GAAAAATTAGCCTATCGTGTGCTGTATGAATAATTAGCCTATCGTGTGCTGTATGAATAATTAGCCTATCGTGTGCTGTATGAATAATTAGCCTATCGTGTGCTGTATGAATAATTAGCCTATCGTGTGCTGTATGAACAATTAGCCTATCGTGTGCTGTATGAACAATTAGCCTACCGTGTGCAGTATGAACAATTAGCCTATCGTGTGCTGTATGAATAATTAGCCTATCGTGTGCTGTATGAACAATTAGCCTATCGTGTGCTGTATGAATAATTAGCCTATCGTGTGCTGTATGAATAATTAGCCTATCGTGTGCTGTATGAACAATTAGCCTATCGTGTGCTGTATGAATAATTAGCCTATCGTGTGCTGTATGAATAATTAGCATATTGTGTGCTGTATGAACAATTAGCCTATCGTGTGCTGTATAAACAATTAGCCTATCGTGTGCTGTATGAACAATTAGCCTGGCGATGACATTTTTCCCAGTCTTTTGATCAGAAAATCTTTTTATTGCACTTTTCTACTTTTATTTCATGGCGCCCACATGCAATGATTTTTTCCTACTTTAGTGCATCGTCGATGGCGCCCTAAGCACATGACGCCCCGGGCAACTGCTCGAGTCGCCAGGGCTGTGTGCAGTGGCGGATCCAGAAGCGTTGCACTTCAACAAATATCAGATCAGATATTGAAATTGAGCCTCAGCATTTATATCTATGCTATGGTCCAATGCGTCTCCACTGTTTACGTCATCAGAGCCCTGGTATGAGTCCTGGTGTGAGCCCTGGTGTGAGCCCTGGTGTGATCCCTGGTGTGAGTCCTGGTGTGAGCCCTCGTGTGAGCCCTGGTGTGAGTCCTGGTGTGAGCCCTCGTGTGAGCCCTTTGTGAGCCCTGGTGTGAGCCCTGGTGTGAGCGCTGCTCTCTGCTCATGATATCTGCTCTTGCCATTTACTTACTGCTGCTTCTTTCTTTAAATGTATGACCATATTTGGAAAGAGGGGAAATAATGAAGATAAGCCCGACGCCGCCACCCCCCCCCCCAAACCACTTTTTATTTTAATATTCCATTCCCGCTGTCCTACACAACTCATTGACCCATTATTAAGCAGACCAGCGAAGTCAAAACTACCTTTTCAAACTGAAACCAACCATCGGGGACAAGGTCACTGGCACAAGCGGTGCACTCACATGGGTCGATAAGTAGAACGTTCGTCGTAGTGATGAGTTTTAAAATGAGCTGCTCACAATGTCCCCAGTCAATGCACTAAGGCGCTCACTAGGTCCCCAGCCAATACATGAAGGTGCTCACAATGTCCCCAGTCAAAGCACTAAGGTGCTAACTATTTCCCCAGTCAATACACTAAGGTGCTCACAATGTCCCCAGTAAAAGCACTAAGGTGCTCAAAATGTCCCCAGTCAATACACTAAGGTGCTCAAAATGTCCCCAGTCAATGCACTAATGTGCTCAAAATGTCCCCAGTCAATACACTAATGTGCTCAAAATGTCCCCAGTCAATACACTAAGGTGCTCAAAATATCCCCAGTCAATACACTAATGTGCTCAAAATGTCCCCAATCAATACACTAATGTGCTCAAAATGTCCCTAGTAAATACACTAAGATGCTCAAAATGTCCCCAGTCAATACACTAATGTGCTCAAAATGTCCCCAGTAAATACACTAAGGTGCTCAAAATGTCCCCAGTCAATACACTAAGGTGCTCAAAATGTCCCCAGTCAATACACTAATGTGCTCAAAATGTCCCCAGTCAATACACTAATGTGCTCAAAATGTCCCCAGTCAATACACTAATGTGCTCAAAATGTCCCCAGTCAATACACTAAGGTGCTCAAAATGTCCCCAGTCAATACACTAAGGTGCTCAAAATGTCCCCAGTCAATACACTAATGTGCTCAAAATGTCCCCAGTCAATACACTAAGGTGCTCAAAATGTCCCCAGTCAATACACTAATGTGCTCAAAATGTCCCCAGTCAATACACTAATGTGCTCAAAATGTCCCCAGTCAATACACTAATGTGCTCAAAATGTCCCCAGTCAATACACTAAGGTGCTAACTATGTCCCCAGTCAATACACTAAGGTGCTCACAATGTCCCCAGTAAAAGCACTAAGGTGCTCAAAATATCCCCAGTCAATACACTAATGTGCTCAAAATGTCCCCAGTCAATACACTAAGGTGCTCAAAATGTCCCCAGTCAATACACTAATGTGCTCAAAATGTCCCCAGTCAATACACTAATGTGCTCAAAATGTCCCCAGTCAATACACTAATGTGCTCAAAATGTCCCCAGTCAATACACTAAGGTGCTCAAAATGTCCCCAGTCAATACACTAAGGTGCTCAAAATGTCCCCAGTCAATACACTAAGTTGAACGAAGCGACCTGGGGGCGGGGGATTCATTCATCCCAGATTCAATAAAATGACTAAATATCTTAATGTTTCAATCTAAAGTTTAGGATATCAATAATATGGTGTCAGATGTGAGCAGTTCTGTTAATCTGCTTAACTTTGTTCATATCACTATCACGCCCCATTCATATCACTGGCTATGGGCCCCGCCCCATTCATATCACTAGCCATGGGCCCCGCCCCATTCATATCACTAGCCATGGGCCCCGCCCCATTCATATCAGAGGACACCCATACGTTCCGTAGTTAATATCCAGTTAAGAGGAAACCCATACGTTCCGTAGTTAATATCCAGTTAAGAGGACACCCATACGTTCCGTAGTTAATATACAGCTAAGAGGACACCCATACGTTCCGTAGTTAATATCCAGTTAAGAGGACACCCATATGTTCCGTAGTTAATATCCAGCTAAGAGGACACCCGTACGTTCCGTAGTTAATATCCAGTTAAGAGGACACCCATACGTTCCGTAGTTAAAATCCAGCTTAGAGAACACCCATACGTTCCGTACTTAATATCCAGTTAAGAGGACACCCATACTTCCGTAGTTAATATCCAGCTAAGAGGACACCCATACGTTCCGTAGTTAATATCCAGTTAAGAGGACACCCATACGTTCCGTAGTTAATATCCATTTAAGAGGACACCCATACGTTCCGTAGTTAATATCAAGTTAAGAGGACATCCATACGTTCCATTGTTAATATAAAGTTAAGAGTGCACCCATACGTTCCGTAGTTAATATCCAGTTAAGAGGACACCCATACGTTCCGTAGTTAATATCCAGTTAAGAGGACATCCATACGTTCCTTAGTTAATATAAAGTTAAGAGGGCACCTATACGTTCCGTAGTTAATATCCAGTTAAGAGGACATCCATACGTTCCGTACGCAATCAGTGGAGTGTTGGTGTTTACCTAGGAGACTTTGCATGCTGCGGGCCGGGGGGGGGGGCAGAAGTAAGGCTCTCGGAAGAATGCTTTGGGGGGAGGGGGAAGTCTTGGAACAATGTGTGGGTGAGGCACCTATACGTTCCGTAGTTAATATCCAGTTAAGAGGACATCCATACGTTCCGTACGCAATCAGTGGAGTGTTGGTGTTTACCTAGGAGACTTTGCATGCTGCGGGCCGGGGGGGGGGCAGAAGTAAGGCTCTCGGAAGAATGCTTTGGTGGGAGGGGGAAGTCTTGGAACAATGTGTGGGTGTGGGGGAGTAAGAGTCTTGTCACTATGTGTTGGTGTGGGGTGAGTAAGAGTCTCTGACACAATGTGTGGGTGTGAGGGAGTTAGAGTCTTATCACTATGTGTGGGTTGTTGGAAGTAAGTGTCTTGACACAATGTGTGGGTGTGGGGGAGTAAGAGTCTTGTCACTATGTGTTGGTGTGGGGTGAGTAAGAGTCTCTGACACAATGTGTGGGTGTGGGGGGAGTAAGAGTCTTGACACAATGTGTAAGTAAATTAATGCAAAAAATTACCCCGTCTTCATCATAGCAGCTTTCAATGCCACTCCTTCCTTTAACGGTATTTAATTACAATGCATTCAATAGAACTGCTTTCCCCAAAGCTACATGCATGTGTTAAGTAGGTTGGTGTAAAATATTCGCTGGTGCTGGACCGGAGATATCTTAAGAGTGCTAGAGACTAGAGAGTGGGGGCGCTGGACGGGAGATATTTACAGAGTGCCAGAGACTAGAGAATGGAGTGGGGGCGCTGACGGGAGATATCTAAAGAGTGCCAGAAACTAGAGAGTGGGGTGGGGGCGCTGGACGGGAGATATCTAAAGAGTGCCCGAGACTAGAGAGTGGGGTGGGGGCGCTGGACGGGAGATATCTAAAGAGTGCCCGAGACTAGAGAGTGGGGTGGGGGCGCTGGACGGGAGATATCTAAAGAGTGCCCGAGACTAGAGAGTGGGGTGGGGGCGCTGGACGGGAGATATCTAAAGAGTGCCCGAGACTAGAGAGTAATAGAAACGTAACCTAAGCGTTTTTATTCCGTGTGTCCTACGCGTCAACGGTGTCCTATATTTCTTTGTGTCCTATTTCCAACACTGTCGCTTAGAGTAGCACACACTATCAACCAAGTGTGACAGCGATACAGAGCAGGGAATCTCACCGGTAACACATTGCAAATGTTACCTGCATCGATACTTCCAAGTGAACTGTAAACCCGCCCTTTTCTAATATGGAAATATTGACTGTAAATAATAGTACAAAATTTTATTTGATTGTTGATCGGTTTTTAAAGTTAGAAATTAAACCTGTAAAGATTTATTTGTTTCCTAATTTTTTTTTTTTTAAATCCTGAAATTGTTTTTATCGGAATAGGCCCGTCGTTATTTTACCTTGAACACAGCCAAAGGTTTCCCGGAAAATTTCAAATGTAGGTCACGGTCTGCTCCCAGTATTATCTTTCAAGTCACTTTGAATACAGACACTGTGGTGGGAAGTCGACATTACAAAGTTAATAAAAACAACTTTAAGTTTTGCTCAAAATGTCGGATTCTTTTAAAATACGAATTTCTGTGTTTTAATGACTTCAATTTTCAAATGCATCCGTACAGTGGTTGACGCTAAACCAGGTATTTATTTATATTGCTTACATCAATGTGTGTTGACAGAAAGATAATAATACCAGTGGATTACCATGAAGTGCGAATTGTGTAGTGTATTGTGTGTACAGCACACAGATAATGTGAATAATGTACAGCACACAGATGGCGATGTGTTATTTGAAAATGGGAGTGTTGCTATGGAGCTGATGCTTTTTGTATGTAATGTATGTCTGAACGTTGAGATTTTCAACGGCCAACACTTCTATCGATTTTGATCGATTGATTTCTTTATTAGTGATCAACCCGAAACCACTGCGATAGATTGTGATATGGCGGATGACAAGAAGGCCAAGCGGCGGTTACAGAACGTAGAGGCTGCCAAAAAGTCGTATGAAACCAAAAAGAGAGAGAGGAATGAATTACAAGAGGTAAGCGTTGGAGTGTCCACTGACATACACCCTTGTCGTTTCAATCACCTTGCCTTCTGACCCCTACTCCCAATGGTACCCATTGCCACTGTGTCCCACTCCCATCATTGTGCCCCGCTCCAAATGGTACCTGTAAAGTGCTCCACCAGTTAAGTTCATCACTATTCAGCCCACCTCTATTCCACCAGCCCATCTCTCTTCCACCAGCCCATCTCTCTTCCATCAGCCCATCTCTCTTCCACCAGCCCATCTCTCTTCCACCAGCCCAGCTCTATTCCACCTGCCCATCTCTATTCAGCCCATCTATATTCAACCAGCCCATCTCTATTTCAACTGCCCATCTCTATTCAATCAGCCCAGCCCTATTACACCTGCCAAGCTCTATTCCACAATTCCACCAGCAAATCTCTATTCCACAATTCCACCAGCCCATCTCTATTCCACGAGCCCAACTCTGTTCCATTGTGAAATCTCTATTCCACAATTCCACCAGCCCATCTCTCTTCCACCAGCCCATCTCTCTTCCACCAGCCCATCTCTCTTCCACCAGCCCATCTCTCTTCCACCAGCCCATCTCTCTTCCACCAGCCCATCTCTCTTCCACCAGCCCATCTCTCTTCATCCAGCCCATCTCTCTTCCACCAGCCCATCTCCATTCCACCAGCGCATCTCTCTTCCACAGCCCATCTCTCTTCCACCAGCCCATCTCTCTTCCACCAGCCCAGCTCTATTCCACCTGCCCATCTCTATTCAGCCCATCTCTATTCAACCAGCCCATCTCTATTTCAACTGCCCATCTCTATTCAATCAGCCCAGCCCTATTCCACCTGCCAAGCTCTATTCCACAATTCCACCAGCCCATCTCTCTTCCACCAGCCCATCTCTCTTCCACCAGCTCATCTCCATTCCACCAGCCCATCTCTCTTCCACCAGCCCATCTCTCTTCCACCAGCCCATCTCTCTTCCACCAGCCCAGCTCTATTCAGCCCATCTCTATTCAACAAGCCCATCTCTATTTCAACTGCCCATTTCTATTCAATCAGCCCAGCCCTATTCCACCTGCCCAGCTCTATTCCACAATTCCACCAGCAAATCTCTATTCCACAATTCCACCAGCCCATCTCTATTCCACAAGCCCATCTCTATTCCACAAGCCCTCTTTCTTCCTTCCGACCCATCTCTATTCCACCAGCCCATCTCTATTCCACCAGCCCATAACCAAATCACCACCCCATCTCTATTCCACGAGCCCAACTCTGTTCCATCTGCCCATCTCTATTCCATCTGCCTATCTTTATGCTACCAGCCCATCTCTAATCCACCTGCACATCTCTATTCCACCTGCCCATCTCTATTCCACCAGCCCATCTACATTCCACCAGCCCATCTCTTTCCAAGCAGCCCATCTCTATTCAGTTCATCTTTATTCAGGTCATCTCTATTCAACCTGCTAATCTCTATTACACAACCCCATCTCTATTCCACCAACCCATCTCTATTCCACCAACCCATATCTATTCCACAAGCAAATCTCTACTAGCCCATCTCTATTCCACAATCCCATCTCTATTCCAACAGCCCATCTCTATTCCACCAACCCATTTCTATTCCATATGCTCATCTCTATTCAACAACCCCATCTCTATTCCACCAGCCCATCTCTATTCCACCAGCCCATCTCTATTCCACCAACCCATCTCTATTCCATATGCCCATCTCTTTTCCACAACCCCATCTCTTTTCCACCAGCCCATCTCTATTCCACCAGCCCATCTCTATTCCACCAGCCAATCTCTATTCCACCAGCCAATCTCTATTCCACCAGCCAATCTCTACTCCAGGTCCTGCATGAGGTCAAATGCACTGAGATTCAGAGACTTTGTACAGAGACATTGAGTTGAGAGCCTTCTCGTCCATGAGGGGCATCCACCGATCATCGTCGGCGTCTGCGGTTCCTCCAAGGGCATAGGCCACCTTCGAGAGACCTCCAGGCATCTCTATCCTGGGCAAGCTTCTCCAGGATTTTCCATCCATGGCCAATTTTCTTGATGTCTGTCTCCAATTCTCGGCGCCAAGTGTTTCTTGGACGGCCTCTTTTCCGCTTACCCTGTGGGTTCCATTTCAGGGCTTGCTTTGTTGTGTTAGAAGCAGGTTTTCTTAGTGTATGACCAATCCACCTCCACCGCTTCTGGAGAATCTCTTCCTCAATGGGTTTCTGTTTTGTCCGCTGCCACAGTTCCTGGTTGCTGATTTTGTCTGGCCAGAGACATAATGTCACATAAATTGATACGCCCAATGGCATATATCATTCTAAATTGACATAGTTTTATGTCACATACATTGATCGTCAAAAAATGTTTCGTCAAAGTCACTCATTTGGAAACAGTTAAAGTCACAAAAGTGTACTACGGTCAAAGTCACATAGTACATTGAAAGTAACAAAGTCACATAGTACATTCAAAGTAACAAAGTCACATAGTACATTGAAAGTAACAAAGTCACATAGTACATTGAAAGTAACAAAGTCACATAGTACATTCAAAGTAACAAAGTCACATAGTACATTGAAAGTAACAAAGTCACATAGTACATTGAAAGTAACAAAGTCACATAGTACATTCAAAGTCACAAAGTCACATAGTACATTCAAAGTCACATAGTACATTCAAAGTCACATAGTACATTGAAAGTAACAAAGTCACATAGTACATTCAAAGTCACATAGTACATTCAAAGTCACATAGTACATTGAAAGTAACAAAGTCACATAGTACATTGAAAGTAACAAAGTCACATAGTACATTCAAAGTAACAAAGTCACATAGTACATTCAAAGTAACAAAGTCACATAGTACATTCAAAGTAACAAAGTCACATAGTACATTCAAAGTAACAAAGTCACATAGTACATTCAAAGTCACATAGTACATTGAAAGTAACAAAGTCACATAGTATATTGAAAGTAACAAAGTCACATAGTACATTGAAAGTAACAAAGTCACATAGTACATTGAAAGTAACAAAGTCACATAGTACATTGAAAGTAACAAATTCACATAGTACATTCAAAGTAACAAAGTCACCTAGTACATTTGAAAGTAACAAAGTCACATAGTACATTGAAAGTAACAAAGTCACATAGTACATTCAAAGTCACATAGTACATTCAAAGTCACATAGTACATTCAAAGTCACATAGTACATTCAAAGTAACAAAGTCACATAGTACATTGAAAGTAACAAAGTCACATAGTACATTCAAAGTAACAAAGTCACATAGTACATTCAAAGTAACAAAGTCACATAGTACATTCAAAGTAACAAAGTCACATAGTACATTCAAAGTAACAAAGTCACATAGTACATTCAAAGTAACAAAGTCACATAGTACATTCAAAGTCACATAGTACATTGAAAGTAACAAAGTCACATAGTACATTGAAAGTAACAAAATCACATAGTACATTGAAAGTAACAAAGTCACATAGTACATTCAAAGTAACAAAGTCACCTAGTACATTTGAAAGTAACAAAGTCACATAGTACATTGAAAGTAACAAAGTCACATAGTACATTGAAAGTAACAAAGTCACATAGTACATTGAAAGTAACAAAGTCACATAGTACATTGAAAGTAACAAAGTCACATAGTACATTCAAAGTAACAAAGTCACCTAGTACATTTGAAAGTAACAAAGTCACATAGTACATTCAAAGTAACAAAGTCACATAGTACATTCAAAGTCACATAGTACATTCAAAGTCTCATAGTACATTGAAAGTAACAAAGTCACATAGTACATTGAAAGTAACAAAGTCACATAGTACATTCAAAGTAACAAAGTCTCATAGTACATTGAAAGTAACAAAGTCTCATAGTACATTCAAAGTAACAAAGTCACATAGTACATTGAAAGTAATAAAGTCACATAGTACATTGAAAGTAACAAAGTCACATAGCACATTGAAATTAACAAAATCACATAGTACATTCAAAGTCACATAGTACATTGAAAGTAACAAAGTCACATAGTACATTCAAAGTAACAAAGTCACATAGTACATTCAAAGTAACAAAGTCATATTGTACATTCAAAGTAACAAAGTCTTAAAGTACATTCAAAGTAACAAAGTCACATAGTACATTCAAAGTAACAAAGTCACATAGTACATTCAAAGTAACAAAGTCACATTAGTACATTCAAAGTAACAAAGTCACATAGTACATTCAAAGTAACTAAAGTCGTTCATTAGTCGACTCCAAAAAAGTTCTAAAATTTGCAAGCCTTAGACCAGCAGTTCCGCCACATTGATTGTGTACTGTCAAGTGATAAAAATATAGAAACAAACTACTTCTTTTCTCATTTTAAAAAACCTGCCAATCAGTACAGCAAACCATCCAGTCTGTATAACAAACCTTCCAGTCTGTATAACAAACCTTCCAGTCTGTATAACAAACCTTCCAGTCTGTATAACAAACCTTCCAGTCTGTATAACAAACCTTCCAGTCTGTATAACAAACCTTCCAGTCTGTATAACAAACCTTCCAGTCTGTATAACAAACCTTCCAGTCTGTATAACAAACCTTCCAGTCTGTATAACAAACCTTCCAGTCTGCACAACAAACCTTCCAGTCTGTATAACAAACCATCCAGTCTGTATAACAAACCTTCCAGTCTGCACAACAAACCTTCCAGTCTGTATAACAAACCATCCAGTCTGTATAACAAACCTTCCAGTCTGTATAACAAACCTTCCAGTCTGCACAACAAACCATCCAGTCTTTATAACAAACCATCCAGTCTGTATAACAAACCTTCCAGTCTGCTCAACAAACCTTCCAGTCTGTATAACAAACCTTCCAATCAGTACAACAAACCTTCCAATCAGTACAACAAACCTTCCAATCAGTACAACAAACCTTCCAATCAGTACAACAAACCTTCCAATCAGTACAACAAACCTTCCAATCAGTACAGCACCATCCGCTAGTACAGCAACCCTTCTAATTGGTACAACAAACCATCCAACTAGTGCAACAAACCTTCTAATCAGTAAAACTAGCCTTCTAATCAGTACAGCAAACCATCCAACTTGTAGGCCTACAACAAACCTTCTATTCAGTACAGCAAACCATCCAACTAGTAGGCCTACAACAAACCTTCTATTCAGTACTGCAAACCATCCAACTAGTAGGCCTACAACAAACCTATTCAGTACAGCAAACCATCCAACTAGTACAACAAACCTTCCAATCATTAAAACAAACCTTCTATTCAGTACAGCAAACCATCCCACTAGTTCCACAAACCTGCCCAGCAGAGTTGAAAATCTCTTAACACACCATTTCCTGTGGCTAACTACTACACATTGATAAAATAGAAACGGATTTTTCCGATTGATAAAGTTTGTGAGTTCTGAAAATCTGGACAAAATATTTCTTATATAAACAAATTCGTCAAATAAAATGGGTGCATAGATCAGGATTGTCCCACTTTGCGCGCGGGAAAACATTTTTTACGCTCTGCAATAGAAAAGTTTTATATTAGTCATTTAGATTTTCTTACAAGGAGGTTTAGACATAAAAAAATGGTTACATATTTATTATACATATATGTCAATAACTGTATCAAGTGGCAAAGATTAAAACACTAATGATTAAATGCTTACAATCGTAACGCTTGTTCTAAGTTTAATTAATGAAATAGCAAAACGAGGTATGTGGAAGCTTGAATAAGAGAACAGGACACAAAGATAAGGCCGTTTCGGCATAAAGCCTTCTTCAGCTAACAGTAGAAATGAACATATAGTTTAACTTTACAACTGTTTAAGGTATACATATTTTTTTTTAAATTTGTCTGCAGAAAAATAACAGTTTAGTAGCAACGCAGATGTCGCTGCTTCTTGAAAAGTCTAAGCTGGAAGACCAAGTTCAGCTATACGAGCACATGTTGACACACTTTGAACACACGTGCAGCGATGGGGACGAACAGGACGCGGACTGTCTAATAGTGGACAGTTCGCAAGGTCACATCCCTGAAGTTTCTTTGCCGCTCACAAACGTTTCCAGCCACACCCACGACCGCGGTGTACACTACAACGGCCACAGCGTACACTCCAACGGCTTCATTGACCAGAGCGAAACAGCCGAGGCCGTCAAAAACTTACAGCACCATTCCAATTCCGCTCTAGACTTGTCGGCCAGAACGGGCAGCATGCACGCGCCCCACCACGGCGGTGGTCACCCTCGCGGCAGCAGTGAAGCTTTGAGCGTCCAGGAGACGGCCTACGAGGACGTGGATGACGGCCTGAATATCGGGGCCACCCAGGAGGTGGAGCTCACCACGAGGAGGAGAAAGAACAGACGACAAGATGGCGGCGGCGTGTCAGGTCATCCTTCCCTCGTGAAGAGGAACCGGCGGGACGAAGTGTCACCCAACAGCTGTGCCAGGTCCTTGCTCGACTCAAAACGAGGCTCACAATTAACGCATGGCAATCGACGGTTTTCGGTGCAGTGAGCTACATGACGTGCTACCTGACGTGCTATGAGCTACATGACGCGTGTTGAATCATTCCCAATTCAGTTGTGTCACCTTTAGATTTTTTGATCTACAGTTTGTGACTATGCAATAATGTACACTGAACTTATAAAAGTAGAAACATTGTTTGCTTCTTCAATATCCAGTTTCTGTTTAAAAGAAACCACCTGGGAGGTAATAGACCAACTGATCACTGATGCTTTCATATTTCGATATACACATAAAGGAATATACCTATTATATAGTATGATACCAGTAGCCTAACTACTGTTTGTTTTGTTTGAAAAGCTATTGAGCTCTTTGATGTACATTGATAAAATAAGATTCACAGCTTTCATATTATTTAACAGTTCTCATTGGGATACATTTTTGATAACCAAATGTGGGTTACGTGTTTAGAGGTCAAGGTCGTATGTATTCGTTTATTTTTGCATCCCTCCTATTTTTGCAAACGCAGCGTGTAATGGTTAAAACCTGGTTGCCATGGTGCAATTGAAATAGTAGAACAATAATAGACAGGACAATAAGATTCGCGCGTTTGGGCTTAGAGCCTTCTTCAGCAAACACGACACAAAGATAGAAGTAAGACAAAGATAGAAGTAAGACAAGTAACAGAGCACAGTGAAACCTTTAGAGATTTCCTTTGTTGCCCGATAGAGCTGAAAGATAGAGCTGAAAGAACGAGTTAAAGGAAATCTCTAATGTTTTTGTTTTTTGACTGTGCTGTGTTACTTGTCTTACCTCTATTTGTCTGTTTGCTGAAGAAGGATCTAAGCTAAACTGTTCAAATCTTATTGTCATGTCTATTGATTCAAGCTTAACATACCGTGCGCGACTATTTCATTTACACAACTTGAATGCAGTCCATCAATTATTGTCATAGTGCACAATGGTTTTCAATTATTCCCCCCCTCCACCCCCCCCCCAACTCCCCCCCCCCCACCCCCCCCCCCACCCCCGAAAGTAACCTAGCCAATGTTTGATGTCAATAAGGGGTGCCATTGGGCTAACCATCTCACAGAGTCAAGCATAATATGGTGCATGTATGTACTAACCATCTTTTAGAGCTTACCATGGTACAAACCATCTTTTACAGTTAATCGTAATATGGAGTATTATGTGCTAACCAACTCTTAGATTAAAGCATAATATGGTGTGTGTATGTGTTAAATACACCAAAGCTCACGGTAAGAGGCCCTGACCTTGAAAACATCACTGCATACATGGACATAGCTAGGGTTAGTTCAAACATGGACATAGCTAGGGTTAGTTCAAACATGGACATAGCTAGGGTTAGTTCAAACATGGACATAGCTAGGGTTAGTTCAAACATGGACATAGCTAGGGTTAGTTCAAACATGGACATAGCTAGGGTTAGTTCAAACATGGACATAGCTAGGGTTAGTTCAAACATGGACATAGCTAGGGTTAGTTCAAACATGGACATAGCTAGGGTTAGTTCAAACATGGACAGTTCATGATTATTGAACACCCAGGGACGTCTGTTGATGTCTTTTAAGGAAAAAAAGGGGGGGGGGGCGCAAAGTCAAAATTTGGTGGCGTGTTAAGTTATTTATGACTGGAGGCGCCACAATACATAGCTTACTACTGGATGGGCCACAGTACATATCAATTTAAATAAGACTTGCCAGATTGTGATTGATGTTTTCTAGTGTTGATTTTAAATGAAACGAAATTTGTTTTCTTATTTATTATCTGCCGTCCCAGATACCGATACCTAGTGTGTCCTAGATACCGATACCTAGTGTGTCCCAGATACCGATACCTAGTGTGTCCCAGATACCGATACCTAGTGTGTCCCAGATACCGATATCTTATGTGTCCTAGATTAATGCTCCTGTCTGTCCTACCCAAATGACGTCCCTGTCCTACCTAAATGACGTCCCTGTCCTACCTAAATGACGTCCCTGTCCTACCTAAATGACGTCCCTGTCCTACCCAAATGACATCCCTGTCCTACCCAAGTGACGTCCCTGTCATACCCAAGTGACGTCTCTGTCCTACCCAAATGACATCCCTGCTAACATCTCAGGGAAAAAAATGTGTCATGTGCTGAAAATACCATCATTCAACGTATAGGAAAAAGTGCCGCCCGGGGGCCCACCGCAACCCCCTTACTACGCCAGTGACTGACCTCAACCCCCTTACTACGCCAGTGACTGACCTCAACACCCTTACTACGCCAGTGACTGACCTCAACACCCTTACTACGCCAGTGACTGACCTCAACCCCCTTACTACGCCAGTGACTGACCTCAACACCCTTACTACGCAAGTGACTGACCTCAACACCCTTACTACGCCAGTGACTGACCGCAACCCCCTTACTACGCCAGTGACTGACCTCAACACCCTTACTACGCCAGTGACTGACCTCAACACCCTTACTACGCCAGTGACTGACCTCAACACCCTTACTACGCCAGTGACTGACCTCAACACCCTTACTACGCCAGTGACTGACCTCAACACCCTTACTACGCCAGTGACTGACCTCAAAACCCTTACTACGCCAGTGACTGACCTCAACACCCTTACTACGCCAGTGACCGACCATTACCCCCTATTTACGCTGCTGACTGTATAAACACTGTAAACTCGCCAGTGAGCAATTTGTATTGGAGCACACAGCGTTTTCTGGCACATTGTTTAGCATTTGTGCAATTCCTGAGGCCTTAGTTCCAAATGCCCCCCCCCCCCTTTTTCCTCCAAGCTCAATCTCTATATAATGTCTCCGTCTGTGGGCATCAAATGTAACGTGGACATGTTTGACACCATGACTTACTATTCTTACATTTGTAAACTGTGATCACTTACTCTAGAACACGCAGCACAATCTACAAATATTGGTGTAAATATTACTCTAAATACCACCAGTTTAATTACATTTATATTCTAAATGACCAAATGTTACTGTGCCATAATAAAAGTAAACAATGAATTTGCCCGAGGTCAGCCCAGTTGTATACGTTTGGCTGAATTTGGTCTGTGATCTCTTCTTGGCTAGAAGCTGTGCTAAAAGTTGTATATATATATTTTTTTTTAATTAATAAAATCTGACGTGTGATAGATGATTTTAACAATTATTGATTAATTAATACTCACTGGAAATGCCATTAATGTATTAGTGAATTAAATAATTGAACATTTTGTCAATTGTATGTAAAAATAGCGAGTAAAAAAATAAAATTTATCAACAAAGCCATTGTTGTTTAATTTCCCACGGAAGAAATGGATAAAATCCGGTTGTGTTACCATCTGTTTGTGTTACCATCTGTTTGTGTTACCATCTGTTTGTGTTACCATCTGTTTGGGTTACCATCTGTTTGTGTTACCATCTGTTTGTGTTACCATCTGTTTGTGTTACCATCTGTTTGGGTTACCATCTGTTTGTGTTACCATCTGTTTGTGTTACCATCTGTTTGTGTTACCATCTGTTTGTGTTACCATCTGCTTGTGTTACCATCTGTTTGGGTTACCATCTGTTTGGGTTACCATCTGTTTGGGTTACCATCAAGAAATGAAACGCATCGGAACGAAGTTCTTGTCCAGGGGGGGGAGGGGGGGGGTTGTTTAAATAGCCTACATACTCTATTATTTATTTTGGGATGGGCCTTCTAGGGTGAGTTCTCACACTCCCCCACCCTCCCCCAGGCCTTGGCCGCTTTTTACCAAGCATTCTAAACCTGACACTACTCACATCCATGTCAGTTCGACATGACATTTTATAAGACCGTGCCACCAATGGGTAGGGAGATGGAATGGAGAGGGTTGTGCGTTCTGGGGGGGGGGGGGATATTTTATTTTGGCGGGAAGCGACAATTTCAGTCCATTTCATATACATGATCAGTGGTCCCCATCCGGTGCTTTGTAGAGTCTTTAGGGACTACGTGAGCTCTTCTCCGGGGCGCTTAGGCGACTGCTAAAAAATTATTAACTTTTAAAACTTTGGGTGGGCTCAAGGGGCTCCCCTGTATAAATTAATTCTAAAAATGGCTCCGCTGGTCAAAAAGGTTGGGCACAACTGCTTTAAAGCTGTGGTTCTCAATCCGTGCTCCGCAGACTACTGATGCTCGGCGCAGCCACTTCAAATGTTCCGCGACAAATAGACACAACTAAAAATTGTTGAAAAAGAAAATCATTACAATGTAAAATTCTTTTTGTATGGGATTGTTATCAGCAGGGATTGTTATCAGCAGGGATTTTAATCAGCAGGATTGTTATCAGCAGGGATTTTAATCAGCAGGGATTGTTATCAGCAGGGATTTTAATCAGCAGGGATTGTTATCAGCAGGGATTTTAATCAGCAGGATTGTTATCAGCAGGGATTTTAATCAGCAGGGATTGTTATCAGCAGGGATTTTAATCAGCAGGATTGTTATCAGCAGGGATTTTAATCAGCAGGGATTTTAATCAGCAGGGATTTTAATCAGCAGGGATTGTTATCAGCAGGGATTTTAATCAGCAGGGATGGTTATCAGCAGGGATTTTAATCAGCAGGGATTGTTATCAGCAGGGATTTTAATCAGCAGGGATTGTTATCAGCAGGGATTTTAATCAGCAGGGATTGTTATCAGCAGGGATTTTAATCAGCAGGGATTGTTATTAGGCAGGGATTTTAATCAGCAGGGATTGCTATCAGCAGGGATTTTAATCAGCAGGGATTGTTATCAGCAGGGATTTTAATCAGCAGGGATTGTTATCAGCAGGATTGTTATCAGCAGGGATTTTAATCAGCAGGGATTGTTATCAGCAGGGATTTTAATCAGCAGGATTGTTATCAGCAGGGATTTTAATCAGCAGGGATTGTTATCAGCAGGGATTTTAATCAGCATGATTGTTATCAGCAGGGATTTTAATTAGCAGGGATTGTTATCAGCAGGGATTTTAATCAGCAGGATTGTTATCAGCAGGGATTTTAATCAGCAGGGATTGTTATCAGCAGGGATTTTAATCAGCAGGGATTTTAATCAGCAGGATTGTTATCAGCAGGATTGTTATCAGCAGGGATTGTTATCAGCAGGGATATTAATCAGCAGGATTGTTATCAGCAGGATTGTTATCAGCAGGATTGTTATCAGCAGGGATTTTAATCAGCAGGATTGTTATCAGCAGGATTGTTATCAGCAGGGATTTTAATCAGCAGGATTGTTATCAGCAGGATTGTTATCAGCAGGGATTTTAATCAGCAGGATTGTTATCAGCAGGATTGTTATCAGCAGGGATTTTAATCAGCAGGATTGTTATCAGCAGGATTGTTATCAGCAGGGATTTTAATCAGCAGGATTGTTATCAGCAGGATTGTTATCAGCAGGGATTTTAATCAGCAGGATTGTTATCAGCAGGATTGTTATCAGCAGGGATTTTAATCAGCAGGATTGTTATCAGCAGGATTGTTATCAGCAGGGATTTTAATCAGCAGGATTGTTATCAGCAGGGATTTTAATCAGCAGGATTGTTATCAGCAGGGATTGTAAGTAATCAGCAGGATTGTTATCAGGGATTGTAGTCAGCAAACGCAAATGAGCATTCAAAGATTTTGTCCATTCGTGCATTGGCATGTGTGTCTACGTGCCCGTGTGTCTCTGTGCATATGTGTCTACGTGTCTATGTGCATGTGTGTCTACGTGCCCGTGTGTCTCTATGAATGTGTGTCTACGTGTCTCTGTGCATGTGTGTCTACGTGTCTCTGTGAATGTGTGTCTACGTGCCCGTGTGTCTCTGTGAATGTGTGTCTACCTGCCCGTGTGTCTCTGTGCATTTGTGTCTACGTGTCTCTGTGCATTTGTGTCTACGTGCCCGTGTGTCTCTGTGAATGTGTGTCTACGTGCCCGTGTGTCTGTGCATGTGTGTCTACGTGCATGTGTGTCTACGTGCCCGTGTGTCTCTGTGC